TTCTGGTCACTCATTGGCAGGATTTAAGTCCTAAGCCTTTTCTTCTCACTCTTTCATGTTAATAGACTTCTGGTCATTATTTCCCCAGCCTTGAGATTGGAAAGCACCTGTTCAGTCTTTACATAGCCAGTTTTGATTGGCTTCATCAGCAGTGGTTGCCCCTTTTCCAGCTTATGCCCTGAAGGAAGACTGAATTAATTGAGAGGAAACAGAAGAGGAAAGAGTCATGGCTAGATGGAGTCAATGAGATGATCAAAAAAGAGGTAAGGAATTTAAAGAACAAATGACAGTATATTAAATGATTTATAAGGAACAACAAGTTGTGGCGATGATATCAGTGTAAATAGCATTTCCTCTCTTTTGTCTTTTGAATGATCTCTCTGTTAAAATGAATTGGAATTTGTGTATTGATTGAAAGAAATAGATTGACTGTCTGAAACAAAAAAGGCAAATACAGGTAATAATAATAATAATAATGATAATGATAATGATAATGATAATGATAATGATAATGATAATGATAAAGTTGGAAGGGACCTCGGAGGTCATCTAGTCCAACCTCCTGCTCAGGCAGGAAACCCTATACCATTTCGGACAAATGGCTGTCCAGTTTCTTCTTAAAAACTTCCAGTGTTGGCGCATTCACCGCTTCTGGAGGCAGGTTGTTCCACTGGTTAATTGTTCTGTCAGGAAGTTTCTCCTTAGTTCTAGGTTGCTTCTTTGGTTAGTTTCCACCCGTTGCTTCTTGTCCTGCCTTCAGGCGCTTTGGAGAATAGCCTGACTCCCTCTTCTTTGTGGCAGCCCCTAAGATATTTTAGTGACTGCCTTGTGTAGTAACGATTTACAGTTATGACAGTAATGAAGAAATAACTTTACAAGCATTTATGACCCTCTCAGGTCTATAACGCAAAGGATAATTGAAGTAAGATTATAAGCACAGTTTCACTTAGTGACTGCTTTGCTTAATAATCAAGTTGATGGTCCCATTTGTGGTTGCTAAGCAAGGACTACCTTTTTTTTTCCAAGAAAACTTCATTTGCTGTGGCAGAAAATGATTTGTTTACTGAAACTGTACATAGCAGCTTTCCAAATTCAATTTAATAGAAGTCTAACAATGGGAAGATAAGCAATGGTTCCAGGAATGTGGCTTTAAATTTTAGTTGATTTTCTAAAAGGAAATTTAGTAAGAATAATGTTGACATTTATTTTGAAAAAAAAACTTTGGTTTTTCTATTAGTGTAATTGTTAAAGATTAAAGAAAATAACCTGTACTTGGAAAGATAGGTGTTTAATTCTACTTACATATAGAAATATGTAATTATAAGCTACATATGCAATAGATTGTAGTGTAATACAAATACTGTTAGATAAATAAGTTAATATGTTTATTTCCCAGATAATTGAACATTTCCCTTTTTACATCTCTTTTAAACAAAAAAAAATCACCTGTTTTTCCACCTGTTCTTTCTTTTCATTGCTTGTCTACTCTCTACCTCATTTTGATGCTAATACTTGGAAACCTTTTTTGCCACCATATATGGGAGCAGGGACAGGAGAAGAGTAGATAATCACACCATAGAGGGAATTAATATTTCCATTCTAATTCAGCTAGATATTTATAAGAATAGAAATAGATAGATAACCTTTACTGTCATTTTTTTCCTGTGGGCACAATGGCACACATTAAAAATGAAATTTTTGCATGCAGAGGTCAAAAGTAATTCTAAATATCAATTCTAAATATTAGTGACAGTTATAGTTATATGTATTCAAGTGCATACATTATATGCAGCTCAATTTATTATTTTGACCAGCTAATAATTGGATGTAAAAATATACCTCAGATTGTGAAACAAAATTTTGATTAAACGTTTCACACGTTTCAGTCTTTCTCCTGAAGTTTTGTAGTTATCCCCAACAGGACAGTCTATAAAGATATGCTACTGACCTTGGTACACAAGTCATAGAGGCATAACCTTCTCTTATTTTTTGTTCATTTTTCTTCTAAACTATATATGTCACAGTGTAACATTTTCACCAATACTAAACAAGAGTTAAGGTTTTAATCACTGGAGGTTTGGATGATATTGGAAGGTATATCTGGACTGCAGACATTTGTACAGGCTGGGCCTAGGTGGTTTTCATAGAAAAATAAATTAAATGCAGCACATTTAGAATGTAATTGTTTTGAAAGCATTTGACAGATCCAGTGCTATTTGGACATATCTTTCACACTACAAGTAGTCCTTGACTTACAACTATTCTTTTAGTGTCCATTTGAAGTTACAATAGCGCTGAAAAGGTGACTTATGACAATTTTTCACACTTACGACCGCTGCAGCATCCCTATGGTTACGTGATCAAAATTCAGGTGCTTGGCAGGAACATAGAACATAGAATGACAAACTTTTGTCAAATTAAACTTATTTTTAGATAGGTTATTTGTAAAATATGGATACAGCCAAATATCCCAGCTTTTAGATTATATATATATTCCTGACAAACAATATCTCACAATTAGGAAGGAAAAACTGTTTTTCTTCATAAGTTCTAAGTTATTGGAATTATTAAAATCACTTTTGCCAAAGTTAAAAAAAAATTCAAGTAGTCACTAGACAACTCATATAACCTCTTGGATCATCCTTTCAGAAATATTTTCTGACCAGATTCTTCAATGTCTTCACAGTGACAGAACTTCTAATTTACTGCCTTCACTGGAAATACTGAGATACATTCAGAAATGTATCTACCTTGAAAATAGCCCATGTTGAGCCCATAGCAGAGTCAAACATCAGCACAGCAAATGTTTTATGATATTTTGTAATATGTCATAAACTGCTTTCATGTTATAACTTGTTTTATAAAATTTGCCAAAATTCAATTCCATGGGAGTCATGGGTTCTGGATTTTGGATGATTCTGTAACTTAGCCCATTTGAGGTACCTTGGTTGAAAAAGTTTTGCCTTTTGGTGCATTGTCAGAGTTTTAATACTATAGCATATTGATGTCAGTCTAATACAATAAATAATATTATGATTATGTTACAAACAATTGTTTGAATGGATAGATTATTTTTTGCCATGTTAATTGGAACTTGCAATATCCATATCCTCAAGTAGGTATATTTCATAAGCTATCCTTGAACAGCAGATTTAACAAGGTACTGTTTATTCAGTAGATAATACTTGTCTCCTTGGCTAATGAGGAGTTACAGGAAAGAAGATAATATAGAAAAAGTAAGAAAAAGAAAAATAAGATTAAATAAGTCTTAGTACAAGAACTAATAAATATTGGACATGTCCGGTTAGAAGTAGTATTTTTAAAGCATACAAAAATGGCATTAAGTTGTTGAATTAAATAAAAAGTAACGTGGGATAAATGAATTTTTTAAAAAGCATTTGTCTTTTCAGTCTGAACATTTAGGTTGTTAAAGAAATATTACTACAAAATAACTATCAGAATAACTCAGTAATGAAATGGATAATTGGTTTAGCATTTCATTGTTGCTTATACGTTGCCAAAATTGATATTTGCCCCAAGACTTTTTTTAAAGACACTTTACTGAATACTTCTTGCTTCTTTGATCTAACCCAGCAATACTTCTTGCTTCTTTGATCTAACTTCTTACTGTACTTCTTGCTTCTTTGATCTAACCCAGCAATGATAATTGATAATTAATTTTTGTCTTGAAAACTATAACAGAAACTTTTAACCTGTGTGATCATTAAGACAGAGTCTCTTTCAAACGTTTTTTCCCTGTTCCTTGACAGCTACCAATGAACTCACCTTCCATCTCTTGACTGTTTATGTCAACTTTCCATTATTTCCCCAGCCTCCCACTGTGTCTTACATCTAGTATGACTCTGTGCATGTTGCTATAATGTTATGTTTTTATAACTATACTGGCCTACCTTGTCTGGGTTTGGCAGCTAAACAGGATGTGGCCTGGTTGCAATTTAGATGAGAAATCCATCAGGAAATGCCAGAGCTGTAGGCTAGGTAGGGAAAAAAACATTGCAAAACAAGGCAGTGACAAACCACTTCTGTATTATTGTCAGGAAAACAACATGGACATGTCTATGTAATCACCAGGAGCTAAATTTGACTCAAGTAAATTTATATGTTATGAATCAAAAAGATGCACAACAACCTGGAACAAACCAATAGCAAATCAATTCTGTCTTTTTGCTCAGAAAACATACGGAATATCCATGAAGTTACCAAGACTTGAGCTGAACTCAAAGGAAACTTGATTTTACCGGCAGCAGGTAATTTAGCTCTACTACTGTACTTTCCTATTTCTGAACTTAAAAGGTTGGGAACTTAATTTAATAGTCAATAAATAATATATGAACAATCTTCTCCTATTTATGACTGGAAGTATTTTCACTATGAAATTAGTGACTTTAATTTGGAAATAGTTCCAGTCTTATCTCTTATCATAGTGAAAATAATTTAATCGTCAAATTTATTATGTGTTCCATTATTTTACCATCCTATTGAATTTCATCTTTGAAAGGCAAATATTTAAGTATTTCTACTTAATTTTCCCCCATTTTAGAAAGAACATGAAAGTTATAGAAGATGTGGAGTTTAAGGTTTACAAAGTGCATCTCAGATGGATAATTAATTGCTTAATGTAAGAGCTAGCAAGGCAATTTTACTAATTATAATGTAAGCTTTTCTTTGTTTAGACAACTTGTTAAATATTAGATTCTCAATTAGTGTTTCGGTTTGGCTAATTACAACATTCTAACTTTCACAAAGGCACATCTGTAGATATATGAATTTTAAGTCATTGTCTTTGAAATAACTATACTTTTAAAAGAAAAAGCTACGGTATTTCATATTTATAAAATCTGATGATTTTATTTCACAACTATGAAATGCTAATTATCTATAATGGTAGAAAGCTAATACCATTCTACAATCTTAGCAAAGCTTGGTAGTGAAGATATATTATTAACATCTCCATTGTTTTGGCTTTTTTTTTTAGTGCTGAGAGTTATTTGGACAAAGTGGAAATAAAGTTCATTATAATGGATGATAGGGAATCTCCTACGAATGATCTTCCTTTAAATTTACAAGATGTACTTCATGCTGACATACATGAAGAAAGGATCAAAAGTTGCTTGGCTTCTTCTCCAGATGAAAATGAAAATCAGTGTAAGAGTAGGAAGCATAATACTCTGAAAAACTCTCATAACACAATGGGAAGAGTTGAGCAGGACAGCATTAATAATAACGAGGACAGTAGAGACTATACATCTTGCTTCCAAGAAGATGAAAGGGATAGGCCATGTAAAAGTTTGAAATCAGACATGCCACAGAAGCTTGGTTCTGAAAAAAAGAATCCAAGAAAAACAAAGAGTGCTAGCAGGAAAGGCAAGTGGTTTTCTAAATACACATGTATTGATAGTATAGGTTTGCTCAATTTCCTTGAACTATTTTGTATTTGTACATTTGACTACACTTGGCAAAAAATGCTTCAAATTTTCTTTTAGAAATTTCTGTCTAAAGTCATACAGAGGATTGATGAAAGCAACAACAATCTCAACTATTTCTCTGAACCTAACTTCACAAACCAGATTCACAGCTCATCCTCTTGCCTCCCAAGCTCATTCCCACATATCATTACAAGCTGCCACCCAAATGCAATGCTCATTATGCATTCTCCTCTTCTTCCAGTCAGATCCCACTCTCACTCGGGCCAATAGATGTCTCAAATCTAATTACTATCACGGCAAAGGCATGCAGAACCCTCCATCTCTCACAAGGGAGAGCAACTGCTTCGCCATGACTCCACACACCCAATTCGTCTTTATCAATAGAACCACCATGTCCAAGATCTTAACAGTTCTCAGTCACTGGTCCCAAGCTCATGGAATAAAAGGGCAGGTCCCATTGTGGATAAATGGTGGGTTAAAGAATAGAACAGAAAGATAGGGAATAAATAGACATTTTTCACAAAGGAGGTATTGTAGCTAGTCGGGTCCTCTGGGGTTCTACCTTAGGGTCAGTGCTTTTTAACACATTTGTAAATTACCTGGAACTGGACATGACTAGTAAAATAGTCAGGTTTGCCGATGCCACTAAATTGTTCAGAGCGGGAAAACAATAAGAGACTGTGAAGAACTCCAAAGGAATTTCTGCAAATTAGGAGAGCGGGGACCAAAATAGCAAACATCATTCAGCAAGGGGCAAGTGTAAAGTGATGCACATTGGTGTTAAAAATCCTAGCTATTCCTACAAACTAATGAGACCAGAGCTAATAGTGACAAATGAGGAAAGAGATTTTGAAGTAATGGTAAACAATCTAATGAAGAAGTTGAGACAATGTGTATCCACTGTTAAAAAAAAAAAGGTAAGCAGTGTGTTAGGGATAATAAGACACAGTATTGAAAATAGAGATGCTTGTATCACAATACTAGATCTGCTTGATGCCCACCTAGTGCTTAGCTCTCACCTGTGGCTCCAAGTAGCTGTACACGTGCAATGGCCAGACCCCAGTAAACTGTCTTGGCAGATGGGCCAAACCAGGTGAAAGTAGCTAACAAATCCTCAACTCTTGATGAGATAGAGGATTCGTCTATCCCAGCAAGTGAAGTCTGGCCCTGGAAGATTTATTAGAGAAGACTGATCAATAGTCAAGGAGGCAAGCCCAGTAGGCATTGTGGAGCACAAGACGCTTAGATATCCTGGTCACCCACTGCAGCAGGACAGGTCTCCAGCTGTAATGATTCATCAGGCCACTGGATTAAGGTCTCTTCTGCCAAAAGATTGGGATTGCCCCTGTGCAACAGCTGTTCCACTTAGAGCTCCATCACACACAGGTTTCTGTTGTGCAATTTATCCTCAACAATTCATCTGCAAATCATATCAGTCCAAACCTAATTCATTAGCACTTCCAGACTAGGACTCCAGAGCCATCTTTCTGTCCAAGTGTAGTAATTCTTTAGCATTCAAGTAGAGCTGATATGCACAGCATTGCGTCTTCTTTGACTCTGAAGGACAACCATATATAATGAGGCTTTTTTGCCCCATACTCACCACTATAGCCCTTATCAACCATCTCCTGTGGGGCACAGAATCTGCAGGAAAAACGTGGATTTACTGCATGAACTGCATTGGGGGGGGAAACACTCAGAAGGCAATGAGAAAGAAAGATTTCATTTCCCACTGTGATTTTTTTTGTGTCATATCTACATTGTCCTGGGAAACTTTGACCATTTAAAACAGTGTTTCTCAACCTTGACAATTTTAAGGCATGTGGACTTCAACTCCCAGAATTCCACAGCCAGCAATGCTGGCTGTGGAATTCTGGGAGTTGAAGTCCACATGCCTTAAAATTGTCAAGGTTGAGAAACACTGATTTAAAATAACTTCAGGGGTTGAGAGGAGACAAAAGTTTCTGTCAGCAGATCTATGTTTGTATCTAATTTGAAATAATCAGGGGTATATTTTTCTGACATTACTGTTCTTAAAAGAAAAACCAATTATTTCTTTTAACATTTCTGCAGCCAAACAAGAGAAAGCTGACTTTACAGCAGTATCTTATGTGCAAGGGGCAGATGGAAACAAGACAAATTCAAACCATCCTCTGAAAGAACCAGCTCAAACTTTACAATTAATCTTCTCTCTTCTTCAAGAAGAATTTAAGCAAATGGATTCAAGTGTACTTCCCCTCTTCCTGCATCAGGTAGTAAGAAGATGTTTATTATCTTTTTTTTCATATTGTTGATGTTGATATTCTTTATCCCATTAATTTCAAAATGTATAAGTAAAAACTCTGCACGTAATTTTAAATATTGTCTTATTAGAATCTGAATCTATTGGCTCAGGGGCGATACGTTTATTCTGTATTGAAGTTTTCAGTTTCATTTCACATCACTTCTGTTAACAGAATCAAGTAGCAGATATCAGCTCTACTTGAATGCTAAAGAATCACTACACTTCCTAAGAGATCAGGCATAGGTAACCTGCTACTCCTATGCACTTTGATTTGTGCTCTCCAAGCTCCCTGCCGTCCTTGCTGTTTTTAAAAAGCTTTGTAATTCAGTTAATAACAACAGCTGGCATGCTGCAAAGTATCAAACCCTTGTATAATATTTATCTATAGTTAAGCTGCACAAAGATCCCACAGAGATAATAAAACATCCTAAGGGTTTAGTTCAAAATGTGATAAATTGATATTTTGTATGTGAGTATGGTAGCTTTGTGTGAGTGAACACTTTATACAGTCTCACTGGTCCAAATATGTCTGTAGTTCAAAATAATACCCGTGTAATAAAAAAGCAAAGTGTGCTGCATTAAAGGAAACAGCACTTGGTTAGGTGCAACGTGATACATAAGGCAGTGCTCTTCTGAATGTCCTTATTGACTATATCTGGCATTTGTATTTTTTTTTTAGTGTGCCAGGTATCTTAATAGTTCAGTTTGGTTTTTCAAGCTTGTATAAATTTATTAGTATGTCATTAATTTTATGACCCCTACAGGCAAGAATAATGTATAATAAAAATATATAAAAAGTTTTTTTTTCTCCTTTTCTTTCTTTGCAGATTGCTGAAACTTACTTTCAAGATGGAGAATGTATCCTTTTTAAAAAATACAACATTGAATGTGGACCGATATCAAAATACAAACGTATAGCTGTGGACTTTCAACTACAGTTCAATAAAACCAAAATTCTTCTTGCACTTATGCTTATTTTGATTTATTAATGCTGGGGGAGATAAATAAATGCTAATTTTCTGAAATATATGTAAGCATGGTATTCAAGAAGGCACACTGTAAAAATTCATTGTATGTTTAGAAAGTGTTTCATGTTTAATGATTTGAACCTTTGTTCATTGTGGTAGCAAGATATATTTTTTTTTGCTGCATTTCTTATCACACTAATTCCACCGAATACAATACTTTCTGTTGCATTTAAATTCCCAGGCCATATAATTAATCATTCTATATCCTGCTCTATATCTCAACACATTTATGTGTTTTATATATATTCAAAGCCTTCACCTTAGATATTTTTGTCAGGAAGGTTGCTCCATTGCACATGCTCAAAAGTTTGCCCCTTACCATCTCCTCACTTTTTTGATTGTCATAGCAGTATGTTTTAAGAGTCCTCTCTGCACTTCTTGGAAGAGTAAAACTAAGGACTTTATTCATTCCTGTTGACTCTCTTGTCAAGTAATTTTCTTTCAGTTGAAAGTCGGAACCAATGTTGGTTCTTCTCACCCAAAGGCTGTGACCTTAAATGCTTTTATCAATGGTTATGCTCATTCACACAATGCTTCTTCTGCGTTCAGGTACCTGTTGAAAGAGCATTATGAATTGCAAGCTACCTTTACAGGAGCTACGTAAATGATCTTGTGACTGTTCCAGACCATTGCTGTATATGAAACAACAAAATCAGCAACCACCATGGCATTCTCATTCCACAGAATTTGCCATAATCAGTCTTATATTATGACTAAGAAGACTTGTCTTCCTTTATTGTGCTTTTCCATGCCCCTAAACAACCAAGAACTATCATGATCTAATGTTTCAAGCCATATGCTTGAACGCAAAGAAGAAGAAGCGATTGTCAGGATTTGCAAACTGAGTGTAGGTTATCAGCTTCAAAGCCTAATCAGCAATACTGGGAAACCTACATGCGCCCACATCAAATTTTCCTCCTATCATAAAAATGGTGCTAGTTTGAAAACGTATCTATGAGTGTCAGTCTGTGTCTGTATTTTCCTTCATTTTCCATTTAGATGAGAAAGCAATGAAGTTCATTTGGCTTGAACAGTTGTATCACAAGCAGTTGCTTACAAATCTCTCTTCTCTTCAGCAGCAGTGGGGTAAGTGTGTCATATAGTGGAAAATTGTATGTCAGGTAAAACTTGAGAAATGTCTTCATTTTCTGTTGTAATGCATTGATTACTGGAAGGTTATGAGCACAGCAGGATAATTACCTACATTGTGATCTATGACTAGGACTTCATCAAAATCTTACGACTGAATGAGAAATTCTGATTAAACAAACCACAGTCAGAAATATACCGAGTCATGACTTTTTGAGCACATTGAACCAACATTCACTGGGATGGGAAGAATCCCATAATATTTTCATTAAAAAGGGGCATCATTTTTTATTGTTCTGCTTTGATGATTAAAGACCTCCTATAATATTTGTTTTTTAATTTTTTTATATTTCTGAAATATTAAATCATTTATTTTTTAACGTGTGTGTGTGTGTTGTTAATAGAAACAAAATGGAAAGCAACAGTGTGCAATGAGGTTCCAAATCTAAAGAATTCTTCTAAAGAGCTGAATAATGAAGAGCTAGACAAACTTGCTGAATTTTGCACATCTCATCAAGAGTAAGTGATAAACATTATATGTACGTAATAAAATTATACAGTATTAGTCCACATTTTTTTCACAGTGAGTTCTACATGTGATAATTCTTTTATATCCAAAAGTTGGATATGATCAGTGAACTCTTAATTTTGATATTTTTCACCCTTGGAGCAACAGCATTTCCTTGTAATAATATATATTAGTATTAAAGTTATACAGTGTATAGAAAATAGCTTGCCATTTAATTGCACTGCCCAAAGGTGTCCAAAACTATAACATTAGTTTTCAGATTAAATATCTTTTTTCATTTTGCTTGTCCTATATTTTCAGACTATTGTTCTATTAAATAAATACAAATAAAGATAATCTCAAATCGAATCACTTCCTGGTTGTTACATCATTATAATCATGTGGTTTACTTGACAATAGTAGAGAAGCAGTTTGCTACTACCTTTTTTTTTTTTACTTTGATTTAGATTTTCTTTAACTTTCTAGTATACTCTACAAAACTGATTACAAGTTGGCAAAGCGTGAGATAGGCCTCCTCAGAGCAGACAGCACTATTCTGAAGGTTTTCCTAAGCATTGTGACAATGGCCTATACCAGTGATGGCGAACCTTTTAGAGACCGAGTGCCCAAACTGCAACCCAAAACGCACTTATTTATCGCCGGGTGCCAGATGGGCGTGGTCCACTGGGTGGGCGTGGCTGTGGTGGTCATGGCAGACTGGGTGGGCGTGGTCACCTTAATGTTGCTCGTGAGGAGGGACGCCTGTGGGGGCCGGGCAGGATTGGGAGAGATCCAGGGAGTCTCTGGCAGGTGGGGCGGTGGGCAGGAGACTTGTCCTGCGGGGTGAGGCAAGGCGATGTAGGGGCCAGGGCAGCTGCTGCCTGACCCCATCGGCTCCCACACACACAGGCCAGCGAGCACACAGGGGCCTACAGTGTCCGTCAGCAGCCACAACCTGCCGGCCCCTCGCCCGGTGCACTCTGGGGCTCTGCAGCCCGCCGCCAGCAGTTCAGAGAAGCCGCCTCTGAGCTGGACAGCCAGTCGACAGCTGAGGAGGCGATGCAGTGGGTCATGCCTGGGAAAAGGAGAGCATGCGAGGCCAGGAGGGATGGGACGGGGGGGAGGGAAACCAGCCATGCTGGGATGTATCCGGCCACGTGGGACCTCGGCGAGTTAGCAGGCGGTGGGTCGAAGAGGGACGGTTTCCATCTCTGGGGCATGGCGCGTGTGCCCACAGAGAGGGCTCCGAGTGCCGCTTCTGGCACGCGTGCCATAGGCCTATGCCCTATGCATTTTAGAGAACAGAGTGAGTGGCTTTCTTGTGAGGTTTTAAAAGAAGTCTTTCAAAATATCCTGTGCTATTTAGAGACTAGCATGAGCAGCCCTGGGAAGAAAGCTTGGTGCAGCCAGCACCTGCCTCACATAAGGACAGACCAAGTGTATCTTGAATTTTGATCAGGTGACCACGAGGGTACTATAACAGTCATAACTTTGGGGACTAGGCATCAATGCCATTCATTCAGCACTGCTGTAATTTCTAATGGACGCTAAACAAAAAGGTTGTAATTAAAGGACTACCTGTATATTGATAGTGGTTTTCAAGGCTAGAAATGCTGGCGTCCTAATAAAAGCTACTGTACATTTGATTACAACTTTGTTAAAATATAAGCAAAACTTCTTGGATTGTAGAATCATAGATTGGAAGGATTAAAGGGATTTTGGAGATCATCTATTATACTTCAATCTCTTTTCTTAGGATTACATTTAATTTTTTTGCAGCTGCTGCTTCTTCTGCGTCTAGGTCAAACCTTAGACTGCCAGAATAAAGCCATTTTCTTAGCTTCATCGTTGGCCAAAAATAAGTCATTATTGGTACATATTTCTGGTAGTATCTGACATGCTAGCAGATGGGCTGGGCTCTGCATCTCTCCACATTCACACAGTATGTTACCCGCTAAGAGCCTCCATTTGAGCCTATTGGTTTTACATGTGGGTAATCCAGCCCTCAACCTTTTTTTGCAAGGAAAGAAGAAATTAGATGTATTTATCTTAATTTCTTAGAAGAAGGTGAGTTTAAAAATAAATAAACAAGCAATCGGGCAACTTAAATTGTAATAACAATCAATAATGCAGTTCTATTTAACATTCTTCTGGTTTTTCATTTTTCAAATCTGAGGCTTCAGTAGATAACCCAAGCCATGCAGTATATTTGACATTCCTTGCCGTACTTGGGCCATTGTAGGATCAGTGTTTTGTAAACATTCTGGAGTAGTGATGTATCGCTGGATTAGAGCCTTGGGTTCAGTTATCCTGTCAGCATGTAACTCACTGTGTAATCCTTCACCATATCTCTCTGCTTATCCTATTTCTCTGACTTTGCTTGAAAGAACTGTAGTCTGAGCTCCTTAAAGGAAGAGGAAGCATACAAAGATAAAATATCAGAGTAAATGTGTAGGGTGGTAGCTAGAAGAAACTGTATTTTGTCACGCACAAGTCTGATAACGCAGCACAGGATTGGATTTTATACCACCTTGCCCATGTTTCCATGAAGTCAACAGGTGTGATTTATCGGCCATACATTTTTAATTTGTTCATAAAAACATGAATCAAGAAGGAGCTATAGGAAATGTTGGTGCAAAATTCTCTCCTGATCAAGATGCCAAAGAGCCTTGCTTTTTGTCAATACACTGTACATATAGTCCTTGTTTAACAACCACAGTTGGGATTAGGATCTCAGTCACTGAGTGAAGCAGTTATTAAGTGAGATATCAGGTAATCACTTCACTCAACAACTGCAGTCTTGGGACTCCCAGTTGCAGTTGTTAAATTATCTTGCAGGTTGTTAAGCAAATGGCGTCCCGGGTAATGAGGGTGTAGAGCTTCAGGAGGGTGGGAGAAACTCTGGGAGGCCCAGCACAGGCTGTGCATGATGGTCTCTGCTCTCCTCCCTGTGAAAATCCAATCAGGATTTTCAACTCTTTAAGCAGAGAGACACTCACATGTGGCCTGTACCAGGTGTCCCCCATCCACCTCTGGCACCTTGCGCTCCTTACTGTATCTTGCTATGCTGCCTCTCTGCTCGGGAGCTAAATCCTCCCTGCCAAATTCCAAGCAGGATTTTCAGCTGCTGAGTAGGGAGACAATTGTGTGTGGCAGGCACCAGACCATGCAGGGCCTCCTCTATCCCAAGGGACCCTTTAGTCCATGCTGCCTCTCCAGTCTGGGGCTATAAAACCTGCTTGGATTTTGAAATGGACTTTTTTCAGTCAGCCACCATAGACAAGAGAGCTCTCTCTCTCATTTCTTGGGGCTGGTTGCAAACAACCCATTCTGCAAATATTCTGTGCCAAAATTCTGCTTGAATTTTTGGGACTGTTTTCAACCACTTCCCAGAAATGAGACGGAGTCATTTAGGCACGCAGCAGTGGTTTGGCCATTGATTTTCTGGGAAAAGGAAGATTTTAAATAGCACTCACATGATCGCAAGGAGCTTGGCAACCAGTCGTAAGTGTATATAAGTGCCCAAATCACAATCATGTGATCATGGGGGCACTGCAACAACTATAATTTGGGTCATAAGTCCCTTTGTTCAGCATCCGTGGTAATTTCAAATGGTCATTGAATGAACTTTCATTAAGCCAGTAGTATATTCTGTCTCTGCACTTTCCCCACAGTAAATCAGAATTCAGGGTCTTTGGCTAATTCTTGGTTGATTTCAGTTTAGGGCAATTTTTATAAAGTTGGTATTTTTATAGAAACTCAGGTTGTAAGGGCACTTTCAAGATCTTATATTCATTTCACTATTTTTATAGCCGCCTGGGCTGTCAAGTGATAATTTGTATAGTAAATTGTCATTAATATTATATTCTCTGGCTCTGTGCTTTAAAACTGGTGGTATAGATAGTATTTCAGTCTTGTAAAGCCCTGTGCTAATATTAGATCATGGAAAAAACAGATCTGATTTGTTCTCTAGTTTTGATGACGTTTGTTTTAAAGAATATTTTGGTGAGACGTGCTGTTTATTTTTAATTTTCTTTTGTTTTTGGGTTACAGGCCATTTGTCTCCAGAAGCAAGGTAAGCTATGATTTTTTTTTCTTGGCATAGGTTTGCTATTAAATGATTGAGTGTTCTTTAAAAGAATTTACTTCCCCATAACACGTGCAACATAAACATGAAAACAAGGATATTTATAATGCAAATGTTATTTTACTTTTCAGCTCATAAATAAAGAAATATCCTTCAGATGTGAACAGTTCATAAGTTTAATGGCATCTGAAGATTTAAAAGAACAAAGTACTTCTACATGGGATTCAGGTATCTGTCCTATACATTACTTTAGCTTAAGTTAAAGAAAAATGTCATTGTTTGAAAATTATTCATTTGGAAGAATAATCAACCTTTTTTAATCAGAAGGAAAAAAAAGGAATTATATCTTGATGACTTTTTTGTAGGAAAAAAGACTATGTGAGCAATGGCTTTAAAGAGTACTTGTTATTTTCCAGTATTAAATATTACAGAAGAAAGGTATACAGTTATTAATGAAACTGGCAGGGAATTGAAAAAGATTAAAATTATTGAGTAATAGCATGCAAAAGTGTCTTCTGAATGTATTTTTGTAATGTTTTGTAATGTAATGTTTTATGAGGTATATGTGTCTTTTCATGGTAACAGCCTTCTACAAATGTCATTAGTAATTAAGTTGTATAAATTGGACAGATGTAACCAGAGATAGGTTACACATTGCCTCTGAACTAATTTTATGCTACTACAACCACAGCTGCAACAGCAACCAAAAAAAACAAACAGTGGCATGTTTCCAGCTATTTTGAAGTGAGAAACACATGAAAACCCATGAAATAGATTTAATATAATTTTAGAAAATAACAAATGCTTCCATCAAAACAGGAAAACAAAATAGAAAACCAAGGCCACAAATATGATATAGGTTCACCTACATTATCAGTCCAGCCATTATAGCTCTTGTTTTTCCTCAAATATACAATATATTTC